GTCTACAGATAAATTCTCAGTATACGGAGCAGAAAAATTTAAAAGAGACACTTTAAACGTTGCGTTGGATAAGCTGATTATGGATTTAAATAAAAGGAGTCAAGTCTATGAGATGTATAACAAGAAATTCAAATTTTTAATGGATTTGCAAGACAAAAATATGGAAATCTGGAAAGTGTACGTAATAATGTTGATTATTATCCAGATGACGTAGACGAGCATTTAGTGAATGAGTGCATTCAGTTAAAATCTTATTTACTTCAGTCTAAGCCAGAGTCTTACACCTCTTGCAGTGAAATTTTTATGCTAATTTATGAAAATAAATTTGTTGATGTTTTCCCAAATTGCTACACTGTCTTAAAGATTTTTTTAACTTTTGCCAATTACTAGCTGTGAAGCTGAGCGCTCTCTCTCCAGGATGTCATATATAGAAAACAAATATAGGACAACAATGTCGAACCATCGACTAAATCATTAATCAGTTCTTTCCATAAATTGTGATTTAACGAAGGACTTACAATGTGATGAGTAAATAAAGGAATTTGCAGCTCCAAAATGCAGAAAGGTTGCTTTATAATTTATATAACATAACTACACATAACCTATCAATTTCTTTTGCAATAATGTTGTACAGTTTCTGTTTGTATAGACAAATAAAAATGAATAAAATTATTTTATTGTCTTATTTTTTTCTATATACTTATCTATAGAAAACAGTTTTTTGACAAAATGGCTATTTGGGCCTCAAAGTAGTTTCAGCCCAGGGCCCCACAAATTCACGATCCGCCCATGCATGCAGATTTCTTTTATGGCTAAGATTTATAAAACAAATAGTAGATACTACTTTACAAGATAAAGGTGTGTCAATTGCTGTTTTAATTATGTCTAGAGTTTATGAATTTATAACTTGTTTTGTGTTGTTTAAGTATTTCAAAAAGTCATTTTCTATTTAAAGAATTTTCCATATAACGAGATTTTTATCGGGATTTAGCGACTTCGCTAAATAGAAGTCCGTCTGTATTTTCCTTCTATTGCTTATACCAATAATTCTCGAGCATTTTTTTTTTTTTTTAGTCGCTGCACACTTCTAACGATTTCGAAATTAGACAGCACAAACAGAAATAGATAAGTTTAAAAGTTATTTACTTACCTATAATATACTGTGTGAAATAGCTTATGATAATAATTTCCAATGTAAAATAAAATAATATGTACTACACTGTTTTGTACGTTTATTAAGGGATTAATTACAAGTTAATAACAATAATGGTAGATACACTACAGTATCAGAATTATATTTTAGTAGTGGTAGATACACTACAGTACTACACTACAGTTGATTCATTGCTGTTTCGTGAGAAGCCGGGAGAGCTAAATTATGGTCACCGTACTTTTAAGTGCTGATCGTATGAGCTGTATTAAGCTCACAGTCGCTCCTATGTTGCCATTAGCAGTCGAATGTATACAGGCCGACGTTGTGTGTGATCGAGACTGAGTGGCAAAAGCGCGAGGAGGTGGATAATGTCGCAGTCACAACTAGAACAGTTGATATAACTATTAAAAATATTTATATCGCAAATATATTTATGCTGTGAATCAGCAGCTCTGATAAATAAGTGTAAATAACAAGGCTGATGTTACTGAAATAGAATACATAGGAACAGGGTGCGTAGCCAAATCCTTCAACAAAAAATAAGCTCCTTTTAAGTACTTTTAAAGCACTCAAAAAATATTTTTAAGTTCTACATACATTGACAAAATGCAAAATAATTTTCATGATAAAATAACTAGTTTCTGACAAAGAACTCTTTTCCTTGATTATATTAACCATTATAAAATGATCAAGAGATTTTTCGGTTCTATATCAGAAGGGGGGAAATGAAGCAGAAAATTGAGAATATCTTGCAAAATGCTGCAGAGTTGCACACGAGAGTGCAATAATTTCACCGAACGCAGCTCAGTAGACGAAGATGCGGACCCGCAAGTATTTCATCACACACTTAAAATGATTGGCACTTTTATAAGCTATTGACCGACGGTACGCCGAAATGGATTGTGGTTGAATGAAGTGTGAAAATGTTGGATAGAACAATGTGAAAAGCATGCTTTTTCATAATGTGTGGTGAAAATCGACAAGGTAAAGAAAAAAAAATCTCATTTTCGAAAAGAGAAAATTAAGCACTTTTTAAAAACACTCCATGAAAAAAGCACCTTTAAGGGCTTTTAAATAACAAAAATCGAAAATAAGAACCCTTAAGCACTTTTTAAAAACGGTACGCACTTTCACAAGCAAGGTATTCTAGTGATGCTGAAAGTAAGAAATTTAAAAATAGCTTCCCTTCCCACAAAAAAACTTACAAATTTATAGATGCAGAATTTATTTTATATAAATGATAAATTGGTTAAAGTTACACAAAAATAAAATTTTCATTTAAATCACTGATTTTCTTAAAAAATGAATTCAAATGATTTAAGTCATGGCATTAATCCTGATTTAAATCAGTGAACCATGATACAGTAAAACCTCGCTACAGCAATAATTTGGAGACCAAATAAATATATCGTTGTAGAGGGATATATTGTTATATCGAGGGCCTACATACTTTGGGGGACACAATAAGATTTTTTTTAATGTTATATGCTAAAATGAGGTTGAAATTTGGAAAAAAAATCGTTTTACAGGGGTTTATTGCTTCAGAGAATATCGTAATATTGTGAGGAGGAGCATGGCATAAATTCACATGAAAGTTCGTAGAGACCACGAGACATTAACGTAATAAAGAGAGTTATTGATGTATTGAACATTGCAGTAGCGAGAGTTCACTGTATAACGGTCCATTTTTATACTTAATTGTACAACTGAAAAGGTGATAACTAGAGCCCGGATTTTGATGACCTAAAAAATCCCAACTAATGCCCTTAAAAAGTGCAAAAAATGCCCTTAAAAAGTGCAAAAAATGCCCTTAAAAATCCAAAAATTGCACAAAAAATGCCTTAAATAAAGTAAAAATATTGAATTAAAAAATTTTTTTGCTCTTTAAAATTATTATGAGTCATTTAAAAAACATAAAGCAATGCAATACTTGTTCTACGTTCATTAAAGTTTGAAAAATTTGTTTTATATCCTAAAATAACTAAAAAAGGAAAATATATTGACACCAAAATATTTTTATTTTGTATAGAAACTTTAATGGATATAACAACTTCCATCTCATAATATTACTAAATATCAGAATTACATTGGATTATTAAATGTTTTTTGATAATTTGAAATATAAACGAGCGTCTCTTGTCTGAAAGTAAATTTTCATTCCTGCAGAAGCTTCTTTCAACGTCTACTGATGTTATAGGTGCGTACTTGAAAAAGACGGTCTCACTTGCTGACAATTCTTCTTCAATTTGAAAAGATTTTGCTTCACCTGTTAATATTCTATAGATTTTCTTCATTGTTTGGAAACCAGTGTAATAATGAAAATTGATAAAAAATAATAAAAATTGGAAAAAATTAACAAAAAACTTTAAAAAATGCAAAATACGCCCCAAAATTTAAATTAAAATGCCCTATAAATCTAAAAAAATGCTCTAAAAGACAAAAAATGCAAAAAAATGCAAATGTCATCAAAATCCGGGCCTTAGTGATAACATTTCCCATCTAAGTACTTTTCCCTGTCTGTTCTAAATATACTGTTGAGAGTAGGAAAAAATAATGATATAGTTCTATATCAGATTTAAGTCGTAAGGTTTACACAAAGAGATAAATGTTTAAAAGTAAATTTGACATAGTAAATGACAAAAAACATATTTTAACAAATTTTATTTTCATGTAAAAATGAATTACTAACACAGTACATAACATTTGTAAATCTCTGAAGTTCTTCAAAATGTAAATATTTACTGTCAGAAAAATATTATCGTCTGCACAAAAAAACTAAGTAAACAGATAAGAAATGAAATTAACAGAGTACCTCACAAAATAGTGAATTTCATTAAAAAAAAATTTAAATCTTGATTTTAGTAAGAATATTCTTTAATTTAGTTTCAAATACACTATGATTTAAATACAAAAATACATATATAGTGTAGGTACAGGGTATCCGCTGCATTTTAAATTTTCAAATTCATGACTTTTTATGACTAATTCCAAGAATTTTTCATGACTTATTGAAGTTACTATTTTCTCCGACAAAAACACAATGAATTTAAAAAAGCATTATAATAACATTAATTGAAATGATAGGTATAACCAAAACTGTTATACACTGCATCCTCATATTTATAGATTTTAAATTTAAAAAACAGAACAAAGAAAGAGTTGAAGCAATAAAATAGCTGAAAAAAATACAAAAGCAAAAAAAAAATTATTTTTTTCTGCAGAATTATATTCTAAAGATACTTTTCCTGTTCATCGGAAAGGAAAGAAATCCTCCTGATTTTTCTGTTCTCATTTCCGAATTTTAAAAAAATTGGCCAATGACTGGCTTGCTTCAGGTAGAATTTGAAATTGATAAAATAAAAAAGAAATAATAACAAAAATTCTGAAATCTCAGAAGTTTAAAAGATAATTCGCTCTAGAAATGATGTTTTTTCTTTCATTTTTAGAAAGAACACCATAATTTTCAACGAACATAAAACATTTTATATTTTAATAAAACATGACTGTGAGTGGGGGTTTTGTTACAAATTCAGGTATTCGGAACACCATTAAATTGGGGGAGGGGGTAATTCTAGTTTAAAAATTAGATTTTTCGGAGATCTAAATCTATGACTTTGCGCGATTTTGTTTAAAAAAATATTTAAAATTATAATATTTCATGACAAATTTTGCTCAATACCGAAATTCATGACTTTTCAGGTGCACAGATACCCTGTAGGTAGTAAGAATATTCTTTAATTTAGTTTCAAATAAACTATGATTTAAATACAAAAATACATATATAGTCACGGTATGCAAGGTCGCTTTGTGGAATGCTCAAAATATATGTAAAATATAAATTCTGTGAATCATCATCACATTAAAAAAAAAAAAAATCGTGAAATTCGCAGCTACCGAAATAAAGATCAGCAACGAAATTCCTTCAAAAAGGGGTTACTCAAATACTCGTGTAGTTTTGAGATTCAGTTGTTGTAATAAATAATATCGTATCAAAAAAATATCGGATTTTAAAAATTATGCCTGAATTAATAGCTGCCTATAACTGGTGAAAAATCGATATAATTTGCTAAAAATTAAATATTTAAATGCGCGATTCAAATTGCTCATATTGCCTGAAATATCTTGGAACGCTTAGAAACCACGTGAAAATCAATACCAACAACTGCCGAAAATACAATCGAAACACTACATGGTTTGACGATACTATCGGTACAAATTGAGCGCAAAAAGTTACTATTTAAATGGCCGATTCAAATTATACCAGTAGAAATAATATCAACTGAGAAACAACCGAAATTTAAAGAAAACAAAAAAACAGGAGAACGATAGCATTAGCATTTAAAGCCTGAATTAGCACTTTATTAGCAATAACTGCCGAAAAAACGAGGAAGTCGTTACAATAAAATTGTTTAATTTTTTTTTATTTATTTATTTTCTTAAATAATGTTAAAACCTACAGCAATAATAGTCGAAATAATGATTGAAACACCGTATGGATTAACGATGATATCGGTGCAAACCGAGTGTATCAAAGATCCAGATGGCAAAATAAGGTTTATTTTCATTCAGCAAAAATTATTTCAGTAAATCTCCCGCTTTTAGGGAAATTTCAATAAAATACAAAAATTAACAGATTTTTTTGATTAAATTCGGAGAAGCTGGTAAAATATAGTAGTCTAATGAAGAAAATTTTTCTAATTTAAGGAAATTTTCTATTAAATACAAAGGATTTTATTTAAAAAAAAAAAAAGAGATACAGGCAAAATACAAAACGGAATTAAATTCTCCCAATTTTAAGAAATTTTCCATAAAATTACAAAAACCAAGAAATTTTTTTTTTGATTAAGTTCGAAGAAACTAACAACATACAACAGTTAACTTAATAATTTTCAAAAATTTAGGAAATTTTTTTAATAAAATACAAATGGTAGGAAAATTTTGTGATTAAATTAGATAAAATACCAGTCAATTGAAAAGAAAAATAAACATAAAATGCAGTTTTTTTTTTAACAGATGAGATAAAGATAAAATATTAACTGAACTTAATGAACTTCATTAGCTTTGAATTTAATACATAAATGATATTACATAAATGACAATATTACATGAGATATGTAATATCTTTGGCACATATAGCATCAATATGTAAGAGCTAAGCTATTGCGACCTGCATTTCTGTAGTGAGGTATTGAATAAGCTCTCCGACCAGTCTTACCCTCAATCTTTCGTTCCCAGCAATCAATACTCCAAGGGAAGCAATATCAGTGACATTGAAGTCTTGCACAAAACGTTCAACTCTACAGGCTAACCGCTGTTTGTCTTGAGGAGACATATCTGCCACCACTTCAGGAAGTGGTCTAAATGTATCTTTAGCAGCAATTGCAGCTCCAATTCCACCAACAGCGCCTCCTTAAACACAAATTTGACATTATTACCCCAATGTAATTCACTCCGATTTTAAAAAATTAATTCATCTGATAATTACTCTACAAAAATACATGAAGAGATTTTACAATAATAGAAGATACAGATAGACCAACCATAATTTCATTTCGTAAAAAAAATAAATAATAAATTGTGAGGAGAGTAGTTAGCGACAATATCAACCTTTATCTATGAAAAGGCACTCCACCATAGAATCGAGTTAACATGTCTTATATACTAGTGAATTGAAATTATATTTTTGTAGTGGTAGATACACTACAGTACTCCCCCAACAGAATTATATCATTGATAGAATTCAATAAACGGATACCACTAGTTGACTCAGTGCTGTTTTGTAAGAAGCCAGGAGAGCTGTAATAAGATAACCATACTTTTTTTTAGTGCTGATCATGCGAGCTGTATTAAGTTCACCTTCGTAGTCGCTCCTGTGTAGCCATTAGCAGTAGAGTGTATACGTTGTGTGTGATCAAAACAGAGTAGCAACAGCACGAGGAAGTGGTTAATGGCGCAGTCACAAGTAGAGAGTCAACTGTTCAATGTGGAGCATCTATCATTATGGTAGACAGAAGTGGGCGTTTCTGCCAAGATAGGCGTGTTCACATCACGTCCAAAGGTCACCAATGTAGGGATAGTCATATAGACAGTGTCAACCATCATCTATGAAAAGGTACCCCAATATAGTAGTCCCCAATATAATGTCTTATATACTAGTGAATTGGAATTATATTTTTGTAGTGGTAGATACACTACATGCATAAATAACTAAATAAAAATTTATACAGGAATGTATGATGAAATGTGACAGATTGTGGGCACAATCACAAAAAATAATATTTTTTAAAAAATTTAAAAAACAAATTAAATTTTTTTAAAAATTCATATGATCATCATTAAGTGCTTTTATGCAGCAAGATGTTTCCAGCTTTCATTCATAATTAAGAATTTTGCACATTTCTCTTAATGAGCACTAGTTTAGTAATATAATGATAGTTTCATTGCTAGTAACATGGTTGCTAGTTAAAATTGAGACCGAAAATAATGTACGATAACTGTGATCATTATTGATGTAATTTTAAAACTATAATGTAATTGCAATTATTGTAATGCATGATTTATTTATGCTAAAACTTCGAAGAAATTTTGTAACATTTATACAAAACCTCTGAAAATACTGGCAAAAACATTAAAAAAAAAATCTAAAAAACCTTTTCAAAAAACTCATAAGCTTTTTTTTCTTCACAATTTTGAAAATAGGTCAAAAAAGTAATGAGAACATTAAAAAAAATATTACTTTTTTTATATGATAACCACATCAACATCATTTTTTCCAAAAGTTATACTAAAAGAACTGAAGACCTTAAAATCTTTAAGTTCTTCAACATTCGCTATGTTCTAATAACTTGCCCCCTACTGCAGGGTGTAAGCCAAATTTTCCAACGAAATGCAAACAAAATATAAGGACACAAATATATTTTAGAGGGAAAAAAAACATATTTCAATTATGCAGACTAATAATTTTTTCTTCTTCTATTGTTGAAAGTTTTCATATTATATATGGGTAATTCGATAAAAATCTAACAATACCATGTACAAATAAAATATTACAAGACTGGCTTGAGATAGAAAGTCATTTTTTTTTTTTTACTTTTAAGACATAATTTTTTCCATGCATTATAAAAAGATTATTTATTTAAAAATTCCAAAAAATTTTAAAAACTACCTAAATGTCTGAAATTTTTCTTAAACTAACTTGATTTATTTAAAGTTTTTACAAAAATATTTCAATGTTTAAAGTATATTAATAAATTAAGCCTATCTAGAAGTATAAAGCAATATATTTATATGACAACCGCTATCATTTAACTTAACAAATATATAATTTAAAAGTTTTCCCAAGGTTTTCATGAGACTCTCTAAACCTCTGTCACTCAAGGTTTTCATGTCACTTTTTAAATAATTTGTGGAAAAAAGAGCGGATTTTCAGTTATCTGCGTGACCGCCCCGTTTATTCCCACCATTCTGTTAAATTGATAAAATGCTTTGAGATTAGATTAACCTGACATTCTGAATATAAACTAAGATATCTAACAGTTTCTGCTAACATTCAACTACACATTTCTATTATATGTGAAAACTTTAAATAAATGTTATGATGCCATGCGTAAGAATGTGTTGACTCTAGTAAATTAAACACTTTTGACTTTGCAGCAATAATTTACGAAAAAATATCTCATTCCTGGCATTTTTTGAGTTAGAAGATGATTTTAACACTTTCCCTTTACTTTTCTCTTGAGTGACATATAAAGCATAATAATAAATTTTTTGAGACTATTTTTAAGAATTTGGGATTTGAAAATTGTCATGTTTTTGGAGAATCACCCATACATAAAAAATATTTCGCAGGAAACAATTTACAAAGACTTTTAATATTCATTATGAAATAATTTCTTTAAAGAAAAAAAAAATTCTTGGCAAAAACTTAGTCATTCCATAAAGACATATTCGGCACAATTTTTAAAACATTCAATGTTGCTCTTAACATTAATAATCACTTTATTACAATTGGGTAAAAAATATTATATTAAATTAAAATAACAGTTAGTTACATTTCAATTTAAAAAATGTATACCCAATTTAAACATTTATAAGATTAATATTAGTGACAAATACTGAATTGATAAAGATATATCGAGAATTGAGCAAACTAGTCCATATTACAAATATAAATTAGTGAATGGCCCCCTAACGGCACTCGCTCAATATTGTAAATATTTATCAAAATGTATAACATCATGTAATAACTGAATTTTATCTTTAACAATTTTTAACTTAACCTCTCATATAATCTTATGAGTATATTGCATAAAGAAAATCTCTCTCTCATTATCAAAATATAAGAAAAATTTGTAGTTAATATAAATAATAAAGGCATGCTCTGTGCATATTTTTTTTTATAAAAAAAAGTAAACTAACAAAAAAACATTAATTAATAAACTGCTTAAAAGCTTTTTTTTTCTCTATAATTTAAACAAAACATTATGAGAAAATGAACTTTGACTGGTGCATTTTAAGAAAATATTTATTTGAAGATATTTTCTTAAAAAAAAGATACTTATTTAAAAACTGGTTTTAATATTTAAAATCACTTAAAAAAATTTATCAATCTCTCAAAAAAAAGATACTTATTATAAAAGTTTAACCAGTTGAGAATAATCCCAACAAAGTCAATTTTGGAATAGTAATCAGAATATAACCTATAAAGACATATAGTTTTATCAATGTGTAATTATTATAAAAAAAGTGAATTAATTATTTTCAAAATGGAATCTGAATAAAAAAGACAGTGTTTTTAAAGGATGATGGCTTATTTTTACAAAAAGGGCAAAGAGGGTGCATTTATTGGGATCAAAGGGCAAGCCGCCCTCCAAAAAACCCTTAGAGAGAACACTGCAATTCTCTTCAAGTTGAATGAGAAAAATATGAATTAAGCTTCTTTTGAAATAACAAATCAGTATCAAATAAGATTTTTTGCTGCAATTCCTTAACATTAAACAAGCAAAAAGCATCACAATTCCTCTTCCTGTAAAATCCTGTCTTTAAAAATTATTATTTTTTGTCCCTATAAAACAACTCATAAGTACAGAAAATTTTAATAACAAGTGCAATATCCGATATAAAATAGGGCTACAATAAAAAAATCTAAAATATTTCATAAATGATGACCCTTCAGGTTCAAATTCTCATGATTAAAAAATCATAATTCTTATTTTTCATTACATCAATGATTTTTTTCAAGTGATTTAAATGTGGGTGCGATTATTTACTTTGTTACATGTATATATACACATATTCATGGTATGAGAGAAATGAAAACTTTCTGGTATTACCTACTGCCAGACCAACTGGTCCCAAACATATTGCACCAAGTGTAGCAGCACCACCAACTATTAGGCCACCTTTTACACTTCCCTGAACTGTATTTCTTACTTGTTGATCTTGTGTCAAATCTTTGACAAATTCAATAGCTTCAACAACGTTAACAACCATTATCTATAAAGTGAAAACAATCATACATCAATCTATATTCAAAACACTGGGTGAGTATGAATAAGACAACAAACATTTTAGGGAAGGGAAAGGCATATCATAAGGATAATGAATTGCAAAAGAATCCATGCCTGAAAATGTCAATGTATGCCGCTAGGGGCGCTTAATAATTATGAACTTTTTCTCCGAGTGTCAGTGAATAGGTACTTTTATTGATCTGAATTTACTTAATTTAATGTTTTCTAACGAATTAATGTCGGAAATAGCATTTAAATTGGTGGGGTATTAGATTTTTAATCGTGACTTAAATATTTGGCAACTTATTTGACAAGCTTGCCTCTAACTGCCAACTAATTTAACAAGCTAGACCTCAAGGTAAAAACTGAAAAATGCTTTCGAATTAATTTATTGTGGCTTGATGTAATATGAGGTTTCACTCAGATAAAAATTCAGGCTTTTGCTTTATATGAAACTAATAAAAAAGAAAATTAACTCGAAAGAAGGAAATTTCAAAATTGAATGTCACAATTTGAGGAAAATTGATAATAGATAAAAAAAATTAACTCTAAATTTGCTGCCTCAGTTCATTACAGAATACATAACTATAGTTTCTAGATAATAAAGAAGACTGACATAGACCAAGAGTTCATAACCTTATGCTTGAGGAACTTCTGATCCTTTGATATATGCTTGCAGCTGGATGACCAGCATAAATATATTTAAGTTCTCTTTCAACAAAAATGCTGTAATTTTAAACTTATCATTTTATTTATTATTTGTTACAATTCAGAGATGCCATCCTGTTTCTTTATGGGTATAAATTCCTTCTCAAAAAGAGTCAGCCTTGTTCTAAGTAGCAATAAGTGAGATTGTCTAATCTTATATTTATTGTCCCTGTGGCAGAATTTTTTCGAGCTTTCTGCAACATACCTCTCTAATATTAAAATCTTCCCTCTAATACTAATATCTTTCTGCAAGATACTTTTAAAAATAACAAATATTCATGTTACTAAATTAAAGTAACAGAATCGTCAACTTAAAAAAAAAAAATTTAGGATCAAATTAAATAATTTCTTTAATTGAATACATAATTTTTTTAATTCGTATTCAATTATTCGCATTCAATATTAATTCAGTAATTTTTTTTAGCATTATGGGCGATATTCTAGCATTTTGTAGGGGAAAAACACTATTTTCTTTTGCTCATTTTAAAAATCACCATCAGATTAAATAAAATAATTGAAAAAATCGTTAAATATGTTGCAGTAACTACCAGAAAAACAGATTAAGGACGATATCACGCAAGTCAGACTTTTCTAAATAGGGTTACTAAATGTGTGGTTTTTTTTTCGAGATTCAGTTGTCATAATAAATATTATGGTATTAAAAGTATTGGATTTCAATAACTATGTGGAAGTCAATAGTAATAACTGTATAAAAAATTAGAACAAAAATTTCTGCAGAAAAGAAAACCCCAATGGCAGAATTTTTTCGAGCTATCTGCGACATAACTCTCTGGTACTTATGTCTTTCTGCAAATGTACTTTTAATAACAAACATATATGCTACTAATTTAAATTAACAAAAGAGCTGTGTTTTTTAAAAAAAAACTACATATATTTTTAAATTGATTGTGTAATAATTTTTAAGTCTAATACAGGGGTCGCCAAACTTTTTTGATCATTGACCCCTATATAATTTTTCGAAATCTCCATCGACCCCCATAAAAGTAATTTTCTGTTAATTAAAATAATACTCCATTAGATACTGCGTTTGTACATTTATTTTATGATATTAGACATTTATTAAAGTAATAGTACATTCTGTAACAATAGTATTATGAAAAATATATTAATGTTGAACCTTAATTTTTATTAAATAATAAGTAATTGCAAATAAGTAGAAATAATAAGTAAAGTAATTACAGATTTATTTCTTCTTTATCAATGAGATGGGTGTGCCTGGTGTTTATTTGCAAGGTTTGCTATATTGGGTTCAAAATTGGTCAATTTTAATCTTAAATCCCCTCGAAACTCCACATTTAATTTATTTNTGATAATTAAAATTGATATCTAAACCAAACGAATGGTTTTATCGAAACAATAACTAATTATCCAAAACTATAAAAGTTTTAATAATGACACTGCAAATATTCAACGCAGTTTGCAAAGATAGCTGAAACTGCGTATGATATTTGCATTTGTAACGTCAATGCTCGTCTATTAATTTATGTTTTATAAAGATACTGATATTGAGTCAATTATAAAAAAAAATTCACAAATTTTACATTCTTAATTTGGTATGTGTGATTTGCGTATTGAGAACTGTTTTTTCTTTCGACCCACAATCGACCCTTCCGATTCGGATCGACCCCCATTCGCCCCCCTGTCTCAAATCGACCCCCGCTTTTGTTAAATAGACCCCTGGGGGTCTATATAGACCACTTTGGCGACCTCTGGTCTAATATTATGGGTGATATTCTTGCATTTTGCTGGGGGGGGGGGCGCACAAATGATTTCTTTCTTTGTATTTCGTAAATAATTATCACAATAAAAAAATAATTAAAAGTCATGAAATCTGTAGTAGTAATTGCCGAAAAAAGATCTTTGACGAAATCACATGAATCGGACTCCTCAAATGCGTGTTTTGTTTCGAGATTAGGTTTGTTTCTGTTTCGAGATTATCGAATTTAAAAATTATGGAGAAATCAATAGCAATAACTTCCAAAAATTCATTAGAATTATTGCATTAAAAAGTAAATACTCAAATGCATGATTCGAATTTTCCATATTGTTTGAAATGTATCGGGAAAGTTAAAGTCCACATGAAAATCAATATCAATAACTGTCGAAAATGCAATCGAAATATTACACTGATTGATGATAATCAGCGTAAATTGAGCCTGTCAAAAAGTGATTACCTAAATGCATGATTCAAACATTACCTGTAAATTACAGAAAGACAGAAATTAATTTCAAAAAGAGAAATCTTTCTGCAAGAACTCTACAACATTCTGCGACAATGTAGTGTGTCGTTTCGATTCTGCCACGCGAAAGAAAACCAAACTTTTACTTCATTCTCAAATGAGAATCGAAAAATAACAAGCATTTTTTTCCCCTCGGATGAGTGAGAAAGGCATCTTTAAATATAAAAACCAAACTTTTACTTCAACATTCTCAAATGAGAATCGAAAAATAACAAGCATTTTTTCCCCCTCCGATGAGTGAGAAAGGCATCTTTAAATATAAAAACCAAACTTTTACTTCAACATTCTCAAATGAGAATCAAAAAATAACAAGCCTTTTTTCCCCCTCGGATGAGCGAGAAAGGCATCTTTAAATATAGTTCTGTAGAAAAGATAAAATTTTACCAAAATTTCAGCAGAAAAAAAAAACTTTTTACTTCCCGAAAGAAAATTCTTTCTGCAAGAACATGCTGTTGTTCTGCGACAATGCCGCCACGATTCTGCAAAGGGGCTTACTGTTATAATATTTTACTTCTGAATTAAAGCGGTCAAGTTTTGATAAAGCGTATTTTTGATAAGTCCATAGAAACTGAGCCCAAGTTGTCACAGATGCTGTGCAGATAAAAGCACAAACTGTAAGCTGTTCTAGTAAATATCAATGATAACCGCTATCCATATTGTATTCTACAGAATGCTCTCAGGTACAAAAAAATTGGAGACAACTGATTAAAGACCATCAAAAGGCTTTTTAATGTGATAATTACCTATTAATTACGATAGATAAATCTAAATTTGATAACCAGTTTATCAGAAGCCAGGTCTTTGTAGATTAAAATCTGTAGGGGAAAAAAATTAATTAAAAATGAAAAATAATCACTTTTAAAAGCAGTGCTTAATAAATCGAATTTTTATATTTTTTTTCAGAATTTCAAAAAAACAAAATCTGAGAGAGATTAATTTGTTCAATAAAATTATTTGACATCAATTCAAATTTTGACAGGTGACTTTGTGGCAGGGTTTGTTGATTTAAATCAGCTTGATCTAAATCATGATTCAAATCAAATGATTTTTTTAAAATAATCATTGATTTAAATCAACAGATTTTTTTTTATATACATTGATGGTAAAAATTAAAAAACAGTGTTTCAATTATTGATACTTTTATTATTTTCCTATCTTAGTTTTACATTTTATTTTAAATAAATTGCTATAATTATTCTTAGTTAACAAAATTACTTTCTTTCTTGATGTGTGTTAAATTTCAACACTTTTAAAATTACATTTTTAAAAATCTATTGATTCTTGAGATTGAAAGTACAGATTGAAATGAACATTTAATGCTGCCTGTCTTAATATAGACATTATAGCTGGAAAAAGTAATTAATAAACATGAATTTTTTCCAGAAAAAAAATATCCAAATAATGTTAATTAAAATTCTACCTTTTGATTGAAAAAGCATGGAATTAAAATCTACATTATATTTTATTGATGTAGGATTAAAAATGAATATTTTAATATAAAAATATATAGATTAAATATTTATTTATTTTTTGATGAATGACTACATTTATAAACACAATCTGTTACATTTATTTTGTCATTTTAAAAATCAAGAGGGAAAAAAGAAATCACAATTTTAAATTAAAATTATTATGGTTTGCTAATTGAAACTTTGCTTTAATAGTTAAAGTAAAGGGGTCTATCCAAGCCAAATTTATCTTCACAAATTCAACTTTAGGAAAAACTGTAGAATAATTTCACAAAATAGTTTTTCTTAAAATTTTATTTTTGTTTCTCGTTAGAAACGATAAATTAATATTTTTACAATATTTTTTTGTTGAATTTTTAATATAGTTTTTTATTTTTGCAAATTATATCTAAATTTTCACAAAATTGGCGCCTCTCTGAAAAACCTAAACAGATCCCTGATGTACCTTTTAAATTCTCTATTTCATCTAGTCTTTAAATTTCAATCATGCATTTGTTCCAAAATGGTTGCCATGCATTCAAAGCTGTGTATTATAACGAAAAATTATTTTAGTAAGTTAGAGCTCCTAAAACATTGTTATAATATAGTTTTAATGTTAATTTAATTTTGACTAAACATTTATAAGAAATTTTTAATCATAAGTTAACTTTCTTACAGTGTATTTGAATAAAAATCAAAAAAACCTGATTTAAATCAAAAAATCCGATTTAAATCAAAAAAATCGTATTATTTTAATTTTTAAAAAAAAATCAGGAACCCTGCTTTGTGGTGCTCAATGCTAATAAAATCCCATGCATCAATGTTTTATTTTTATGAATGCTAACTGTTCATTGATAGGAAAGTGTAGCTTTATTAACTATCTTGATGTTGGATGTACTTTTAGTGTTTGTGTCAGTCTTACAGAAAAGTACTAGGGGTTGCTAATCATTATGAACAAGTTGTCGCAACCTTCACCTATTACCAGAGGCACAGTTATGGGGAGGGTTTGGGGGACAAAACCCCCTCCAAAATGAAACATTATTTGAATAAAGCACTATTGCACGGTAAATAGGATGGAGATATAAAAGAGTTTTCATTATTTTTTGTAAGTGAAATATTTATATATATTATCTATCCATCTATCTTTATCTATATATATATATATTAGAAGAAGATGGCCGACCGATTACCCATGCATATGCGATCATGCATTAAAATGCCACTGCCTATTTTGACTCCCTATCAGAACGTGGCTAGTTCAAATCATGCCAGGGTCACCACTTGTAAGGGCCGATACTTAGACTTCCTGCAATATGCGGTTTTGGATGAACAAATATAAAGTTAATGACGGCATAAAACGTTTCATATTAACACCATCGATATCAACAATTAAATATATAATTAGGAATATAATTAATTTCAGTTATAAATACATCTTTAAAGGGGAAAAATATATACATTCACTACAAGATCAAAAATATGTCAAACATCATAACTGTAAATAAAGCTATGTTGTCCTAGCAACGCTCCCTTTAAATTCATAAGAGTAAAACAATAATGCGCGAGATTTGAATTGACCTTGAGTACCACAACTTACAACTGCAAGTTTGTAGTTACAAGAATATTATGGAAAAAATATTTGGTCACTATCACTTACTCTAATAATAAAACAGAATGCAGAACTAACAATGTAAATTTAAAATAGCTTTTGATAAATACTTTTACCAAAATTGGCTATATAGATTGAATGTTCAGAGTAGTGAAGTAAGAAGAGATTATCAGTTAACTTAATGACGAATCATAGTAACACAGAATAAACGGGTGTTTCACTACAAAGAAGTCGCTGATTATTAGTAGTTGCACTTTCACTTTCCCTTGGCCAAGCACTTTCCTATTGATAAACAAGGAGTCAATAACACAGATAACGCTTTTGGCTGCCTATTTCTGGGCAAAAGAAGTCGCTCCATTGACTCGATTGAACTAGAAAATAGGAATCTGAGAAAAGAAGAGGAATAACTTCCTAGTTTGATGGCAACAACAACACAAATTTTCGCGTTATTTAGTTCGGCATTTTTCGTGTTCTTGGCATGTTTTTCGATACAGCCAAGATAAATTAAACTCAAACCTATCTATATATTTTTCACTATCGGCTCATTTGTAGACTCAGCCTTGGCTTACTTTCGAGGTTTTTCTAAAATTGAAGATTAAAATTTGAGCTAATATTTTTCTTGCCATTACCATTCCTTTAATCATGGTGCGTAGCGTTTTTAAAAAGTGCCACATTATATCATTTGTATGCATATTTTGTTTTCATTTCATTTAATGTGGTTAAAAGGAATCAGGGTACATGATGAAAATGATTTTTAAATCATAATTTGTCAACAATTTAATTACAAAATCACATAAGATATGGATTCAATGATATAATGTGTTTTATAGCACGTGTGTGCTCTGAAAATAAGAGTCACATGTTATATTTTAAATTGAATTATTAAAAAAATTAATTGAATCAATAATCTAGTTAATTACAGGAAATAAAGAATAAAAGCTTAAGTTTAGGGGAAATGTAATGTATAATAAACGTTGTAAAAAATTAAGGGAAAATTTAATGTATAATAAACGTTGAAAAAAATTAAGATAATCCAGTTTGAGGAAAGCGTCCTCCCTTCATGCGAGTCAGTTTGGAAGTAAGCATGAGAGGGCGCGATTGCTCAGGCGATAGCTTGTTCGCCTTCCAATGAAGAGAACCCGGTTCGAATCCCCAGCGACGGCTGGTCGAAAAGAAGTCCGCATCTGGCTTGCACCTATCATAGTGCTGACGTGAAATATCCTCAGTGGTAGACGGAACATGGGTTAGAGTCCCTGTCCGTCAGGCTAACCGTGGGAGATTCTCATGGTTTCTCTCTCCATAGAACGCAAATGTTCCATCAAAAAGTCTTCCACGAAGGCAAATTTCTCACAATACTTGATCCAGGAGTTCCCTTGTCTTATGAATTGGGTTCAAAATCACAAGGCTATGGACTTGAACATTAATAGTCGTAAACCCAAGAAAGAATTGGGCCAGCTGCTCAACGGCGGTTATATATATATATATGGCATGTGCGAAGCACTAAAAAATGGCACTAAAAAAATTTATAATCCTTAATTTTTCTAAACTGTTAAAAAGAACTAAATTTTAAAAACCAACATTTCCTTTTTTTAAATTTTTTTTTTTGCTTTCGATTAAATCTTTTTATTTTTCATAAATAAGTTTAATTTTAAAATGAAAAACAATGCTACTAATAGATTTAAAGTTTCAATTTGGAGTATTTTTTAAGTATAGCTTTATCTTGAATGAACTTTTTTTCAAGACATACTGTACTAATTTTCTGCTGTATTACGTACGTTATGATCTTGCAAGACAAGTAAAAACTACATATAGTTCGTTCACCAGGAGCAGGGCCGGATTAACCATTAAGCATACTAACACGGGCTTAGGGCACCAGAGCTTAGGGGGACACCACAAGCAGCCAATGAAGAAAAATATATTTCTAGAAATCTTCTTTAAAAAAAAATTTCGGTTATAAGCTCTAACACAAGATCATGGTTTAAACTAAAATGCTATTGATGTCTATTTATTTCAATCTCAGGAGATGTTTTCCTCCTGCTGCTGAGTTGAGTTGTTTCCCTTCTGCTGTCGAATTGAGTTGAGTTGTTTGCCTCTTGTTGTTGAGTTGAGTTGTTTCTCTCGTGCTACTAAGCTGAGTTGTTTCCCTGTTACTGATGGGTTGTCATGATTAACTACCATTGCTGAGTTGAGTTGTTTTCTTTCTGCTGCTGAGGTGAGTTGAGTTCTTTTCCTGCTACTGCCAAGTTGAGTTGAGTTGTTTCCCTCATGCTGATGAGTTGAGTTGTTTCCATACTGCTGCTGAGTTGAGTCATTTGCCTCCTGTTGCCAAGTTGAGTTGTTTCTCTCCTGTTGCTGAGTTGAGTTGTTTTCATCCTGCTGCCAAGTTGAGCCGCTTGCCTCCTGCTGCATATTTTTTTAGTATTCATTTTTTGAGTAATCACTTTTCACGTTGTCACTTCTTACGTAATCATTTTTTGCGTAATCATTTTTACGTAATCGCTTTTTGAGTAATTATTTTTCAATTAATAATTTTTTCTAGGTTTTTGTAATCATTTTTTCTAAGCATCAGTTACTAATTTTCCGCGTACACCAGAAAATTGAATATTTAAAACTTGAACACATTGAAACAGTGCGACTCTATCTGTAATCAGTATGTGTTAATTTTATTTTTTTTAATTCCATATTAAAGGAGACTTGATTTGATTTTAAAACTATTAATCTTTTCTAAATTTTAATAATGCAACGAGGCTAAAAAAAGAAGCAAAATCCCTAAAGATTCTTCGAAGTCTTTACGACTGCCGTAAAAAACAAAATAAAAATAAATAAAACTGATAGTTTTATTTTTTTCCGCTCTGACAATTTGAAAATTTACAATAAAATTAGTGTTCAATATGTGTTATAAAACAATCGCTCTATCAGCCTGTTTTGAATACAAAACTCTCTTTTTCTATAATTAACTAATTTTCCAAAAAAGAAAAATCTTTTTGAAGTAACATACAAAGATTCATTTATAAAGTTTACTTATTATTAATTGAGAGCTTTAACTGTGTATGTTGATACATTTTGAAGGTGTAGAATATTTTGAAACGCCCTGTGGCTGAGTGGTTGCGCTTCGCGCTCCCGAGCCACAGGTCCTGGGTTCGATCATCGGTGAATAGAATGGAATATAAAATAGAATTTAGAATAGAATATAGAATACAATAGAAGAAAGAATAGAATACAGAATAAAATATAGAGTAGAATAGAATATGGAATAGAATATAGAATAGAATATAGAATAGAATATAGAATAGAATATAGAATAGAATATAGAATATAGAATATAGAATAGAATATAGTACAGAATATAGAATAGAATGTAGAATACAACATAGAATAGAATATAGAATAGAATATAGAATAGAATAGAATGAAGAATAGAATATAGAATAGAATATAGAATATTATATTATATATTCCATTCTATTCTTTATTCTATTCTATTGAGTATAGAATAGAATATAGAATAGAATATAGAATAGAATATAGAATAGAATATAGAATGGAATATAGAATAGAACATAGAATAGAACATAGTATACAATAGAGTAAAGAATAGATTATAATTCTATTCTATTCTATTCTATATTCTATTCTATATTCTATTCTATTCTATATTCTATTCTATTCTATATTCTATTCTATTCTATATTCTATTCTATTCTATATTCTATTCTATTCTATATTCTATTCTATTCTATATTCTATTCTATTCTATATTCTATTCTATTCTATATTCTATTCTATTCTATATTCTATTCTATTCTATATTCTATTCTATTCTATATTCTATTCTATTCTATATTCTATTCTATTCTATATTCTATTCTATTCTATATTCTATTCTATATTCTATTCTATATTCTATTCTATTCTATATTCTATTCTATTCTATATTCTATTCTATTCTATTCTATATTCTATTCTATTCTATATTCTATTCTATTTTATTTTCCATTCCATATTCTATTCTATTCTATATTCTATTCCGTATTCTATTGTATATTCTATTCTATTCTATATTCTGTTCTATGTTCTATTCTACATTCTATTCTATATTCTATTCTATATGCTGACTGTTGATTCTTCTACAATTAACGTCGCAGGTTGCGAAGTTTAACTTCTTCCGCGCAGAGGGACTCCACGCTCTATTTTTTTTATTCCCATTATAGATCCTCCTCTTGCAGTTATGTAAATTCACTTTTGTAGACTTATTCTATTTTTATTTAAGAAAAGTATTTTTCACTTATTTATGATGATATTTTTAATTACATTTAATGAGCATCAAAATCTTGTAAGTGCTTACGGCCTCTAAGGCTCTTAATCCGGCCCTGACCAGGAGTTGGCACTTGGCTCCACCTCCTTGGACGATGAGGTTATTTCCGAGCAGAGCAAGAAGAGAAAGATATCCGCGCTTGAAAATGAGACAACCCTTAATGCGCTCCAAACGCAAACAGTGAATTCTTTTTCAGTCACTTACTGCGCTATATCATCTGCTATTATACCTTCGTTGTTGTTGTCGTGTCTATGCTAGTGTAAAGATTAGAGTCCTCCAAAACTCTAGCTAACTAAATATATTGCAGTAAAATGTCTTTTTAGTTTCATAACTTCAGCTCATTTCTGATATGAAATCTTAAGGAGGAATGATCGTGTGCAGCTCAGATTACAAGATCCTAGAATGAATTTTGGAGAAGCGTTCCATGATCTTGAATCATTAGCGACTGAACTAGCCGAAATTCGAGACAAGCTCTGTGAAGAGGCAATAGAAAAAGCGAAGTCTCTTTGTGAAAAATGGGATATTGATGCAACAATACGTGTAAGAAGACGCCGCAAAATGCCCGGAGAATTGGCTAGAGATGTCAGTCTTTCCGCAGAAAGTGAAATTTCTCGCGTTATGAAAAGCGTTCTTGATCATCTCCAACAAGAAATATATACAGGATTTACACGATTAAGTGACCTTAATTTCAAATTTGGATTTCTACTAGACGTTGAAAATTTATTAAACAAGGATAATGTTGATAACGACCTTGAAAATTTTTTTTAAAAATTTGGGGGAATTTTATAATACAGATTTCAATGGAATAGAACTCTTTATCGAAGTATGTGACTGCAAAATGTTACTCCGCAGTAGAAAAGAAATTGAACTTAAAACTCCATTAGAATCTCTTACTTTTATAATCCCGTATGGAGAAGATGTTTTTCCAAACCTGAGAGTGGCACTTCAAATACTCCTGACTATCTCAGTATCAATTGCTAGCTGCGAATGGCCATTCAGCAAATTAAAATTAATTTTGACATATCTACGATCAACGATGGGACAAGATCGCCTAAGTGACTTAGCATTTTTAAGTGTGGAAAGAGAAAAATTTGAAATGATCAACTTTGATGATATTATTGATAAATTTGCTTCATCAAAAGCGGAAAATTTATACATAGTAATTAGTTTTATTAATGTATTATAAT